ATATCTACTCATATTCATGTAATTAAGCGTTTTAATGATTTGGCCGATTAATTGATTGTTAAAATAATCGTTAGTTGCAGCCCTAATGTGTTTCCCTCTCTCATTTTGCGCATTAACGTCTTTTTGAAACACCCAAAAACCACCTACACCAACTGCCCAAAACAGATCCACTGGAACCGGACTGGARCGTCAATGGAAAAGCACCGAACTGACCCGTTCCGACACYGACCGTACCGACACTACACTAAGTGGCACTAGATGAAAAGGGGCAATTAGTTTTGCAATTTTTTTTACTTATTTCTGACAGTGTATTCAAATGTTTTATTTTACACTGCAAACTAATTACTAGCTATTTTTATTGCTCTATCAATGTTAGAAGACAGATGTGACATTACACTTCCTCCATGAATTTACTCTGATTTTCCAAATTTTCTCACTTGGCAGCTCGACATTCAAAATCCTTTGTAAACAATGGAACAAAATATTTTCTGTCAATATTTGGGATTTTTTTCTGTAAAGCTATTCTAAAATCAAAATACATTTTTTTTTCTGATCTGGACACTGACTGCCTTAGAAACACCTGAAACTTTACAGCACTGTGTTCAGCCCTGGACATTGATCTTATTCTGAATACTGAAGCCTCACATTGGATCAATTTGTCACTTTAGGGAGATCAGCTTGAAGACAATGTGTAGCATTTTGAGCATTAGGATAAATAATCATATTTAGCTCTAATCTGTGGGTCTGACCTGTGAGCGGAGTTCATCCCTCTCCTTCGTTGTCTGATCCAGCTCATGGACCAGACAGCCAACCTGCAGGGAAATCTCATCAAGGTCCCGCTCCTCGTCTTGGTCAGTGYTCAGACTGGTCCTGGCTTCAGCAGCTACAATAAAAGCTTCTTTGTCTTTTATTAAATCGCTGATTTTCTGTTTGGCCTTTTCAAAAAGACTTTTGTAGTCTTTTTGGTCGTCCGTTTGGCAGCCCTGGTGAGAGCATTCCTTCTTGACATTGAGGTGTGACTGCTCCTGCAGCTGGACGGTCAGCCTGTACACCTCCTGTTTCAAACTGTCCCTCTCCTGAGCTGTGTCCTGCATGAGCTCCAGGAGCTGATCCTGTTGCTGCTGAACCTCAGTAATACTGGGGAACAGTGGAGAGGAAGGTCCAGGGGTTTCATCACTTTCCATATGTGCCTCTCCGTTGGGTAAGATCTGCTCTCCCTGATTCTGACCCGGACTGTGCTCGTCTTCGTCTTGTTTAATTTCTCTTTGTTGGACAGTGTGGTTGTGTGGGCCTGAGCTCTCATCTGTACCATTGGTACCATCATTCCCTTCTTCACTTTGCTTTTGACTGTGTGGCTCTGTCTTCACTTCGACTGCTACTGTCTGCGTAGTGCTGCTGACCACTTCAGCGGGACGACTGGCTTCCACCTCTGTGCTGGGACCTGCAGAAGCTTCCTCCGAGGGCTCGTCTACAGCAGCGTCGTCGCTGCATTCCAGCAGCACGGTGACATGATCGTCGCTCTCCGTTTTCTCTTCTTTGATTTTAGTCACAGGTCTGCTGGGCTTATTTGGCTTGGGAGTGCTTTCAGTTTCCAGGATRAAAATGTCATCATCAGTGTCTTCGGTGTCATCGCTGGAGTCAAGAGAGAGGGAGCTCACTGCTCCTGYTGAGGGTTGCCTTTGGAAGCCATTTATTCTGGGTCTTTTGGGCGTTCTTTCTGAAGTTACAAGATGAACTCTTTTACCCCTGTGGAGCGCAAACAATACAGTTTTATGTGTCTCTTTATTGTGATGAACCATTAAACATCAAAAACATWAAACACATCGTACCTCTGAGACTCTGCAGACAGCGAGCGTACATTGGTAATCACTGGAAGTCCAGAGGTGGTGGAGGGGCTGCAGGCTGCAGGGAAACAAACCATTTTTAGTCACCTTTTTACTAACCCACAAAGACAACTTATGTTTTTACCATTTTGTGAGGAAATAGAAGACTCCATCATTGAGGACTCTTCCTTCACAGCACTGAGTGGAGTGGGTGGAGAAGAAGGGGCCTGGAAAAAATAAAAAACAGCACAAAATATGTTTCTATTAATAGTCAAATACCAAATTAAATTCCTCTGATGTGATGAAGTTTTAAAGAATGATAGATGGTTCTCAAGTGACGTAACATCCTGCAGATCATGTGATAACATCACCATATTCATGGGCACGGTTGTGGAAGAGGGGATAGTCTACAGCACAGAAATGTATACAATGTCTATGGTCTGTAGATTGTTTACACAGTAGTATGTTTTTATTATAATTAGTTTTAGCAGTCATCGAGCAAGTTTGCATTGGAGTCGTTTGCAAAACCGTGCTGCTTGTGTGGCAGAGAAATGCTCTTTTAAAAAAAAAAAAAAAATCCAGATGGTGTAAAACACCAAGGAGAAGTAGCAGTCGAAAAAGTGACTTGATTTGTGGCTTCACCTTCTCCTGGGATTCCAGAGTGTGCTCAGACCACTTCTGCCACGGTTAGTGACCACATCGTAGGATACTTTGAGAAAAAAATGAAGGTTGTGCACTATGAACAGTAACGTGTTTTAACACTGTGCAGTCTACCCTTGTAAACGCACATGTAGGATACACTGACAGCATCACATTATAAACACAAAAAGTTCAGTATTGTGCAGCATGTTCCCATTAGGAGTATGTAAGATATAGTTAATAATAATAATATCACACAGGGTCATGTTAGCATAGCCTCTGTGTTGTCTCTGCAGACTTCAGTAGCTTGTAAGGACCGTTGCTTTCAATATAGATAAATACCTTTATTTAGATTCATCATCCAGTGGATCCTTGGCTGTCCTGAAAGACACTTTTTAATTAAATGTATTCCTGGTAATGCTTGTCTGCTTCGTTCAGTGGCCTTTTTGCATTATTTTCTCCCTTGCTTTTGTGGTTCTCCCATACTGGTTTTCTTGCTACAAGCTAAATGCTAGCCCACGAACATGGTGCGGACATTTAAAAARTCCCGGATGAGGACGTCATTGAGAACCATCTATTAAAAAGTCATAGGCTATGTTCACACTGTAGATCTTAATCAATCCTGACCTTTTTTTAAAAATCTGATTTTTTTGGCGTGAACGTTCACACTACATTATAAATGCGACCTCCACTGTGAACTCTCCACAGCTCTGATGCGACCTCACATTTATCTCACGGTTTACAGAATTAGCTAAACACTGATGCTACTTGTTAGCATGTCAATTCTGATGTTGCTGTGTAATCAGAGCCAATAAAATCATTATCTGACATGCTTAGTTCAGTGTTCACATTTTTACCTGCCTCTAATCGGATGCTCCGGTGCAGCATTTTATTTTTGGAACAAAGCAACGAGCTGGATGTAAAGTATTGATCAAGTAACTTTAGTATCGATCCAGTCCACAACCGATATCAGAGGTTACTGGTTTCTGAGGATTTTCAGTCACCCACGACATGGAAAATTAAAACAAAGACAAAGTAACAGGACTTATGTTCTGTAGCTGAAAACGTGGGAAGTTAAAAGATTTAGACTGCATAASTCAAGGTTAGTATCATTATTATKSGATCRATCYGCTAACCCCCATCTCACTGATTTAAAAGTCAGATGAAATGAGTGTTCAGACTGAACTCGCTTTGAAAAACATCAGATACRTATCTGATTCAGTACCACATACTGAAAAAGGCCCAAGTCAGATAAAAAAAAAAAGATTTGTCACGTTCAGACTGTCAAAAAAGTATTCAATGGGGGGGAAAACTTTGGATTTTGGTTGCATTTGCCTGCAGTGTGATCATAGCCATTGATTCAACTAACAACTATAAATGGAGTTTGTATTAGACAGATGTACTTGTTGATGAAGCAGGTTTGTCAGGGTTTTGTGTTGCCGAGTAAGAGCTTGAGTTTCTTTACGTATAGACGCCAAAAGCTGCCCTTCATGGTGACGTTTATGCAGATGATCCTTGGACAAAACAAGAAAAACAATTCAATATAATGCTCAAAACACTGGTAATGATGTGTTAATTACAGAATTAGAGTTTATATCACAAAGCGTTAGGTTAAAAACTACAACTAGCAAGATGAAAAATGTCAGAAAAAAGAAACATGATCTTACATGCTGCATTTTCTGTTCTTGTTTCTTTTTGCTTTCCCTCTCTCTGTAAGAAAAAAGTATTATGTCAAGGACTCTGCTCTGCAGCTGGTTAATTTAACTGAGGTCTGACATTAGGAACCTTTTTGTTATTCTTGTTGAGCTGATGTTTTGAATCACAGATAGAAAAGTCATGCAAATATTTAGAACAATATATTACTCACTGCTGTTTGTAAGTTTTGCGGTATGATGGTTGATCATCATCAGAGTCCTCTGGCTCCTCTTCTACGTGGCAGCTCCTACAGAGTAAGGGAAAACAGAATGCAGGTTTTAAACACTGCTGAAGCAGATAAAACTGGGGGCCTCACACCAGTACTTCTCAACTGCTGGTCCCCGGATCATGTCTGGAACACAAACTCATTCTTTCCACCCTGTGGCCCATCTCTTGAATGGTTAATGACAGCAAAGTCATCATTCTCAACTCAGACACTCAAACTCGTCAATGAGAGGGTCCCTCCAGAAGGTTGTGGCTTGTTCAGCTCAGCGGGATGAAAGATGCAGAAAGAAGAGTGCTACTCGATCTGAAGCCAAACAGTTGATGCGCAGTCACATGGTTGTTTATTTTCACACACACCTTTCATAGCCCCTGAGACACACTGCGCTGGGCTCCTGGGAAACCCCTCCTGTTGTGGTATTTGTGGCTGCATGGGGTTTCTTCCCAATTGAGTCTACACTCTGGAAAAAAACAACTTCCATAGCCGCCGTTATTTGTCCACAAATCTCTCCCGTATAAAATGCCAGACTCTTCAGTACAAAACTTCTGTTTTATCTCGATCCATGTTTTTGGACGTTTGACTATCCTTTGGGTACAACATTCAAATCCTTGAAGCGAGCAGTTGAAGTAAAATGCAGCATCCACATGGTTTTCAGCATAAACAAACACACCCACAGACATTCAATTCAATTCAATTAAAAAAATACTTTATTGATCCCAAAGGAAAAMTAAATCTGACCAATCACACAATAATTCTCATGCGGAGGGGACTGAAAGGTTCTCCCAGAAGGCTGCAGCTGCGTTTCCATTGACCATAAAAATGCCCAAATTAGAATTGCGAAAATAAATTTGCCTAATGGAAACACGCCAATTTTGAAAAAACACGTTTTTCGACAAAATGGTTTTGCGCTAGGATAAGGTGGTTTTTCAGCCATATTGAAATTGGTGTATTTCGCAAAACTGCAATGGAAACACTTTTCGCATCACAGGAGTCATGTGATCAACTACCAGATGTTTCTACTGGCAAAAAAGACGAGGAAGAAGAAGACAACAGGACGTAGAAGTAGTAAAATCACCAACTACAATTTTCCAAAAATGCTGCATACGTAGCTGCTCCCAAGTATAAAGAGCTTGTCGCTGGAAAGCCTCGATAAGACGCCGACGTCTCCTCTGCTGGCTGATGGTGAGCACTAGTGCCATGGCAGCAATATGAAGATATCTCATGTAAGTGTTTACATCTGTTGCCRCCCTGTTTGTAATCTTATCGCAAGAACAAATGTATTCACGCGTGATTTTAATAGCATTTCTTACTTAATGGAAACACCACAATTGCGAAACTTTTATCAGACATTAACAGGATATTGACAAAGTTTTGTGCACATTTGCAATGGAAACACAGCTTGTGACAAGAAGGGTTGGGAAACTCAAAGCTGCAGACAAAATAACACAATTTTTTGTCAGCAACAGCGACACTGAGTTCGCAGTTTGAATGGATGTTGGTGAAAAGGTGATCTCAAACATAATGGTTCATTTAGTTACAGGGAATATTAATGCTGTTAATATGTGTTTGCATATTAGCACCATATGGCTAGAAGTGAACAGAGCCATTAGATAGGTAGCACTTTGTTTTGGTAGGACACAATTTAAAAGCTCAATAGTTGTACAGAGTCGGTTCAAGTTGCTGACATTTGTTCATGTTTATCACTGACATGATCCCAAGTTTTTGAAATAGCTATCTAGACTCTCTCTAACAAGTTAAAGCACTAACTATGCTGTTATCACGAGTTTTCCTATGTGTAACTTTACTGGTATTAAGTGATTTTGGGCAATGTATCACTAGGTGTTGTATTCACACTGATGTGTGTGCAGCAGCTAGGCAAAAACCTGCTAAAAACAATGCCTAATATGGAAAAGAACAAGAACTGCTATGTGTCAAAACCTGGGTTAAGCAATGAAGACGCATCAAACAAAACACTGCATTTATTAAATGTTTTAATCTGTTTTATTGTTTGATACTCACATTGTTGATTTTATGTTCATACTAAAGGATTTCCTGTTGCTACTTGTGCTTAAAAGGCTTTTGCACTGAAAACAGGGAATTTCTGATTCCTAATGTCAGATTCTGATTGTCCACTGTCTCTAAAACAAAACATCTTTTTCTATTCTTGCACAATTCTTTATATTATATTTTTTATTATTAGTAGTCGTATCATGGCTAGTCAGTAATTTTGTTTTGTGTGCACTACCTATAGTTTTCACTAGTCTTGGTGATAATGAATTACTTTCATGTTTGTTTTTTTAATCCATCCAAGAATGTTCTGGTTACCTGAACTGAGGATCGGGGTTCATCCTGCAGAACCATTTATCCGGCAGTTTGCTGCAGTCGATCCCATCTGGGAGTTTGCGCCACTGCAGGCAGTCATCGCACTGGACCCAGTTCTGGTCTGGTCGCTTCCTGATGAGGAGGTTGTGTTAAACAAGCATGAAAACAGAATTCTTAATGACAGTCACCTCACTCTGTACCCACATGGTATCTTCCACTGGCACCGTGCTGTTTGGGTTTTCTTTGGACTTTCTGTAACGAATTTCATTCCAGTACTCCTCCAGTTTGATCCCCAAACTGTTCATGGTCTTTCTGTTCCACAAAATAAAGTGTCACACATTTTAGATCAAAGGGATATAAAACACCAGAAGTTTTAATATTCAGGTTTTATTCAACTCTGATTAAAAAAAAATAAATCCCGAACGCACCTGTACTTATCACTCTCAATGAAGCTCTGTTTGTTGTGGGTGGGATCCAGAAAGTTGCATTCAATGACCCCAATGACTCCAACGCCTCTGTTATTGGCCTGAAAATAGTAAAGATTTGCAAGTTTTAAACATTTAAACCAAGCAGAAATAAAGAACATCATCCAGACAGAGCACACTCACTTTCAGCTGGCATCCCACTCGTTCATAAGCTTTAATGAGTCGATTCTTGTGATACATCATAATACCATACTGGTCTTTGCTTTTGGTGTTATAGCCAAAAATTATGGGAATACGTTTTTCCTAAAACAAGAGTTAGGAGAAACACACATCAGGAACATTTTTCCCAAGTCTTTTTCATAGCTGAAAAGTTTAATAGAACATGTAAAGAAAAATATACCAGGAAAGTGGGCCTATAGTGGTCCTTTCTGATGTACGCCAAGCTTTTAGCCACCAGCTGAGATTTCACCTTTTGACCCCGCACCATGACCTGCATCCGTGGCTTCAAGTACAGAATACTGCAATATGCCTACACCCAAGGAAAAAATAGAAATATCTTTTTATATAAAAACAAAATTACTGAAAGCTTAAACAAGCTAAATTATTACAAAACAAGACCTTTATAAAAGAGGAGAAAACTCCAAATAATTATTTTTAAGCCATTTTTCTAGTTGTATACTAGACTGTAATTAGTCATAATATATAAAAGTCAAGAATATGGACAGGCACAAATAATCTGAGGTTAATTACTAGTAATTAATAGTTAATTACTAGTAGAACATTACTAGAGCCAGAACATTTTATTGTGGAAGTGATAAAAAAAATAACAAGCATGATTGAGAAATTTACTAATGTTAGCACACATTTGTGGAGAAATAAAACAATGTGTTTACATCTTCTTACCCGCAGAGAGTAAACACTCTCAGGGATGTAAGAATTGGCTTTGTTTGTATTCTGAGAGGGATCATTCAGTGTCTCATAGATTTCTGAAGGAATTTGGATATCGTATCGATCCTTCGTAAAATCAAACTCTGTTGTTCCTGTGGTTGTCCTGAGGAAGAAAGAAAAATGGAGATAAATTTTCTTGACAGTTGGGTCACACAAGTTTAGTCTTTGATTTTTATGACTGGTAATCAATTAACTGATTGTGCAAACAACACAATTAATGTGAAATCTTAGCTTATGTAACCCTGGATGAATTAATGACATGAAAATATGTATTCCAGTAACTCTGGTTTATGTTTCTAAGTATCTATTAAAAGTTATATTTGAGTCATAACAGCTGTCCTAGGTCATGTTACTGCATGATATTATTTTTCTGTTCTTTTTCTAAGTAGCTGGTTAGGAAAAAAATCATATCATCAGGAGATAACATTGAGATTTGTGTCAGAAATGGACCATAACTATAGATTTGTGCACTTTGTAAGCAATTGGTGTTTAAAAAATGAGCGTATGTGTGGGTTACAAACAGACCTGCGCAGATTCCAGATAAGAACCCTTGTGCCCGTTTTCTCTGAGGACCAGTGTGAATTGATGGCGTTGATCTCAGTGAGGAGCTCATCCTGTGTCTTGAAAAGGGAGTAGCGCAGAATGTCCTGCAGACTGACTTTGTGTTCATCTTTTACAAAAAGTAAAGATGTGGTTAAAGAAAACTGATGAAAATAGGCTGATTCGAGGAGTAAATGCGCCTCATACTATGTCTGTGTAAGTTTTTAATCCAGGCCATAAAACCTTCAGAGAGCAACAAAAATAATAATAATAATAATAATAATAAATAAATAAATAAATTAAAAAATTTAAATAATTTACGTATGCCCCTTTTCCCTCCCCAGGGAGCCAAGTTAGACACTTGACTAATACTGCATTAGAAAAAAGGATATATTTGTTTGATTTCTTCTCTTCAAAGCAAACAATAGGTACGATAATTTGATTAGCCCCGATCTTTTCCAGGTAGGTCTGAGACAGCATCCCAACACACATCATGCTCTTTGATTTGGAAAAGACGATGGCATCTTTACCAAGACGCATGGAGCCTGATTTGAAGCCGTTACCATAGATCCCGATGGGCTCCAGTCCATTTACAGCTGTCTTGTCACTGTATCCAAAGCTGAACATAAGAGACATACAAATTATTTTATGAACATGTAAAACATGAATYCTATTTGTTTTTAAGCACAGCTTGGTGGAAATTGTACCTAAGCATCTTGTGCATAGTTTCATGAGTGAGTCCATTTCCATTGTCCATAAAACTGAGACAAATCTCTCCTTTTATCACAGTCTTATCGATCCAGAACTGCTTGGCACTGACATCGGGGTCGTAGGCATTATCTGCCAAACGAAACGGTGTGAGAAGTCATTCATTTGCATGTTTTACTTATAGAAAATGTATGACATGGTAGCTAATGCTACATTAATCTGAATTTAATCTGATGCATCATTGAACATGGTTAAAATCACTGTTTTCACAAATTCAAGAGTTTGCAATAAAACCTCTAATCTTTCAGAAAATGTGACCCCAAATGTGTGAATTGAGTTAACTGTTCAAATTAATCTTGCTGTCTCCTTGAAAAGGTAAATATAGGTTAAAAAAACACGTTAAGTGGTGCATTTTAAAATTATCACTACAAAGGATGATTTAAATGTAAAATTGTCTAAACCTAATAACAAAATTAAAGTCATGCTGAGTCAGTGGTAGTCACAGCAGACTGAAGAAAACATCCAGTTGTGTGACTTAACGGTGTCTTGATGGTGACTCACCGATAAGCTCAGCTATGGCGCTGAAGGGCCAGGTGTGGCTGGTGGAGTTGGTGTGCAGAAACTTGGGTGAGAGCTAAAAAAAATAAACAAAACAAAACCAACAGTTAGATCAGTTGGTTTCGTTCTACAATTTTACGTTTCAAAAACAGTTTCACGCATTAAATATTTTCATTACTCAAAACACTTGAGTTTCTCACTGCAATAACTATTTTATCCAGGCTTCCAGCTGCTCCCTACTCTCACTATAGCAACAAACCACAACGTTGTGCACGGTGGTTGAAGTCCATGGGTTCGGCCCAACATCCCCTTCTGCACATCTGGCCTATGCCCTTGTACACGTACAGCATTACACATTCTTTTCCACCAGTTTCCTACAGCTTAACCTGGTTTTAACAGCATCTTTATGGTTAACTCATTAACTTCATCCCTCTGTAGTTTCTACAGTTGTGCACTTTAGGGCTGGGTAATATTGACAATAGTTATAAAATTTACTGTGGCATTTAGCTGGTAACGATTAATAAAAGACAACTGCACTTGCATCTAGCTGACGTTGTGGACTTGGTCCACATTTTTTGGCTTTCCTCGTACTCCGCTTTATGCCAATGTTTCAGGTATTTAAACAGTTTTGTAGTGTTAGGTGATGGCCCTCTTTTGCATGTGACTAACCTGTTTGTCCATGTGGAGGCAGTGCTTATAAGGCTGAGTTCACCTGAAACTCATCAGACTGAAGAAGTCTCTTGGAGGAGAGACGAAACGTTTCACTAAAGAAGAACCCATCCAGAGGACCTACTTATTTTTTCTTTTTGATTTTTTTCTACCTGGATTACTGAGATGCATCAGGACAAGTTTAGTGATAATTAATTGCTTACTATACAATTTTGCCCAACTCTAGCACATCCTGTTTCTCCTTGAAAATTTGTACCAGTATCCTCTCTCTAGGTCTGTGTTAAACAATCTGGATAAAACATCTGCTGCATTGTCTCTTAGAAACCTCCACATATCATCTGGACCACGTTTACACTCCTCATCCTTCTCAAAGCAGCTTTTCCTACCTTCTTACTTATCATCGGCACTCACTGCCTGATTCACAAACTTTCCTCCATAAGTTTTCATTCAACTGCTGTTCAAGGAAAATAATCAGTCTACTTAACACAGTCTCTTCGTAGCACACGCAAAAATACATTTTACAAAGTCTTACAAAGACATGTCTGTCTGTCTGTCTTTATCTCAAGCAGGGTCTCCCTTCCCCATCAAGAACAGGAAGTGCCCCCTGGGCTTCCAGTTGATGACCACAGTTTTAGCAGGTTTTTACAGCTTTGGACGCATTTTAATTTATAAAAAAATGCGCAGAAATATTTTTTGACTGTAAAAATGGTTGCCAACCTCAGGCAGTGTTTCCCCTACCATTATACAGGCGCATAATGATATACACTCCTAATCAAAATCTTAAGACCAGTCAAAAAAGTGCAAGAATTTGCATTTTGCACTATTGGATCTTAAGAAGGTTCTAAGTAGAGCTTCACAACGTTAAAAGAAGAAATCAGTGCAAGAGACAAGAACTTTTGAGCAGGGAATTTTCTGAAAACTGCATTTACACTCAAACATGATTTTTTTTCAGCTGATCAAAAGTTTAAGACCATAGCTCAAAAAAACCCAAAACAGAAATCAAAGTGTCAAAAAAAGGACTCAGTAATGAGTAGCTCCACCATTCTTGTTGATGACTTCAAACAATGGTTTAGGCATGCTTGATGCCAGTGT